ATGACGACGGGCCGTTTCGCGAGAACCCCCTGAGAACGCGAGTGGACCACGAATTATGGCGAGCATTGTTCGCGTCCCCGGTCGACGAAATTGGCCATTGTCTGCACACAGGTCTAGGTGAACCGCTCGATCGTTATACCGCGACGGCTGGAATTGTCGTCGCGCACTTTTATCATCGTCGCGTATCGAAAAATCTCGCGAGCGAGATATAAACATCGTCCATCATTGTAGATGAAGAAAAGAGCGGCGCGATATAAAAGTGTCTATACGTTCACCGATAATTCGATGGCGAAACAAAAAAAAGAACACAGCAGTAATTTATATGGTACATGTATAAAAGCTGTCAAATATTTACTTAGCGGGGTTAATTTAATAAAGTTTCAACCCCTTGGCGAAGCGTGGCGGACGGCGCGTGTAAATTCGTTTAAAAAGTTTCGAATGAACCGTGAAATTCGCTTTCCTCTCTCCGTCTCCCTCGCTTTCTTTCACCGCGCGTATCGCCTTTTAATGGTATTTCTTCAAGGCTAACGGTTGCTCGCCCGAGAAACGAACGTGGCAACGAAACGTTCCGTCATCGCAATCGCGTCGTTCAATTTCGGATAATGAAATTCAATTCCCGAGTATAAACGCAAGCGAGAATCAGCTCGTAAGAATTGGCTGAATTATATGCACAAGCGAATCAGTCTCCTTCTCTTCATAGAACTAAAATTCATTTCATGGAAATGATTAAATGGAAATAATTTCATAGAAATGATTTAAACAACATTCTACACAAAATACGACAATTTATACCTTACTTTAAATTCACTTTCGAGATCATATTTATATTGAATGGATACTTCATTATTCTGTCCTTGAGTTTCTTTAGAGAAACGTGTAAAAGAATCATTTAATAATATATGAGAAATCATTTTTTAATATCCTTTAATATAATTTCAACGAAGCTATTCTTTTCACAGAAAATAATTTCGCAAGAAATTTACGTCGCTCCTTAATTTAATGATTCTTAATACCTAGCCACGTACGGCTATACTAGGAATGATTCAGCAATCTTGTGAATATTGATGCGCTACCTTAATAGTCCCCCGATACGTCTCTCGCAATCAGATTGCTTTCCAAAAAGCACGTACGAGGGCAAGCAAAAGATTCTTTAATTTCTTTAATTTCCTGCGGTCGCGACATTATGAACGGAAACTAAAGGTCGCCGAGGTCTGAACTCCTCGGTGCCTGAATGGTTGCACGTACGTATGTGGATCCTGTGCTCAGGTAATATAGTTGGGGCGGGTGCAGAAAGAGAGAGAGAGAGAGAGAGAAAAAGAGAGGTAACGAAGAGTCAGCGAGAGGAACGAGACCCTGGAGGGCCCGCACTATATGCACCAGTTATTTATCGTAGCTCCCGTTCATGTTTGATTTGTTATTTGCTTGCCTGCCTGCTCGATTGCCTGTCCAGACTGTAGACGGGCACGTCTACGTTCGAGCATCTACATTATCCGCATGACAGATTCGCGACTATCACGTTAATGAGTCTGTTTCGTGTAATTAGGGAAACAATCGTTTCAATCACAACTCCCTCCCTCGTTTCTATAATATTAAGGGAAAAGCGTGCTCACCGCGATTTATTTCACATCTTATCGTGACTCAATTATTCGCTGCGCGACTATGTATTAAGAAAAAAAATATCCGATATTTATTAATACTATAATTTTTCAATAATTACACGCGTCACAAAATTGACAGATGCGGTAATTAGGAAAACGACGATGTCGATATTACTCGTAATCGTAGCGCGATAGCGAGGCTTAATTAAATTGTACTCGCACAAAATTGATGGGTATAGATATCAACGAGGCCATTAAGTTACTTCGTAAATGTATGTCGAACAGGTGCAGACTGATGGTGCATGTACGATGGTGATAATTATTAAAGTCGTAAATTGTTATAATTAGTAAAGTAGAATTCGGAGTCCAAGACGGAAAGAGAGAAAGAGAGAGAGAGAGAGAGAGAAATACCGCACATTTCATCGAGATAGATCGAGATGGTCGAGCACGAACCACTCTCGTACTTTTTTTTCTCCGACAACGTACCTCGCTTATCATCGAATTTACGTTCAGCGATAAAACAGTAGCGCAATCCAGGTCTTAGGTTTATTTCCGAGTTTAACGAGTCTGCGAAAATGCATATAGCGTAGTCTATGTTTCAGAATATTAATGTCAAAATAACGAAGTAGCACCGTCTCCGGAAAATTTATCCGCCAACTTGCAGGCAAGTTTTATTAAAGATGAATAAGCGCGATAAAGTTTACAGCGCTCCGGCAAATTTATGCCCGTAACTGAGACTGTGAATACGTATATATAGTAGTCTAATGTGTTCGAGGTATCGATTTCAAAGTGAAAATGAAAGCGGGAATATATTTTATCCGCGCGGACACAAGAGAATCGTAGGAGGTTTCGAGAGATCTCGGAATAGCGACAGTAATTCTCCGAAAGTTCACGCCTGTATAATCGAGTTTGTCGAAGCATAACGGCCTAATCATCAATTTCGCGCAAATCACGTCGGACGTTTACGCTGTAGACGTACCGATGGACATCTTCTTCACGATATAACGAAGGCACCTCGGCGAAGACAAGGTGGCCGCGGCGACGTCGTCGATGTCAAACGCGGAGAATTAAAAGAACGACGGCGACATTATCGGGAGGACACCGAGGGGGAAAATAGAAGCGCATCTTCGGTGACAAGGAGCAAAGGGGGAAGGGGGGGGGAGGAGAGGAGAGTCGAAGACACTGCGAGAAAGAGAGAATAATGCGTTAAAGCAGCAACCAGCAACTACTCTAATTGGCCACTTTGTCCATTTATTCGATTTATTTAAATTATGGGACAATTGACAGTAGGCATTCTATTTTTTAAATCTCCCCGGCCAACCGGCTGATTGGACGAGATTGGCGTGAGACACTGGCCCCACAGATTCCCCAGTTGTGGGCTTAATCAGCTTTGATTGCTGGCATCTCTCTCTCTTTATCGCTCCCTCTCACCGTTCTCTCTCGCTTGTGTCTCTTTCTCTCTTTCTCTTTCCACGTACACACGCACATGTCTGTGTCTTCATCTTCTTTTCTCGCACACTCGCGTTTCTCTTTCACCCTTTTCAGCCTCCTTCATCTCGTTCTCTCTCTCTCTCTCTTTCGTATATAGTCGCGAACGTACAACGTATGTATATACATTTTATTTTATTCCATTTCGTTACGGATCCCACCACGCGTTTAATATCCTCCGATCAACGTTGATTGGCCGATACGAAATTACGAGAATATGTCACTGGACCAGAAAATCCAACGGAGGCCGCCCACTCTCTCTTTCTCTACTCAATGTTCCCTCTCGTCGTCATCGCCGTGATTTCCGGGAATTGCGCGACAAACTGCCGATTGAATCGTCACTAGTGTTTTCGAAGAAAATGATGGTTCGCGTGCCAATAGTGAAATGACAGCGGGGAGGAACGATTGATCTTAATGATGCCTATTTACGGAGAAACAGCGGCATGTTTATGTAATACAGAGCTATGACCGCATGCGGTGAGCGATATTTCTACGCAGTCATGCTGAACATTTCAAATGCAAACAATTAAAAAAATAATTTTTTTTTTTAATAGTTTGGTTCATATATAAATGAAATGTTATTTGGAAACACACTATGGTACGCATAGAATTAACATACAAATGAATTGTTTCGTTAACCGTAAATTCGTAATCCAGTAACCGAGAGAACGTACGCAAATATATGTTATAGGTACGTTTCTGCGTGTAAATATTTTATCTGGTATTTAAAACATAATATTGCCGCTGCACAGCAATTCTCGTGGATTCTCGATGTTTCATTACAATCGAGATTAATTCAGGAGCATTCTATATTACAACGTTCTTTTAGATCGACGGTAATTAATGAAATCGAAACAAGAATGCTCCATTTAATTTTTTTAATCGAGTCAATTTACATCGCTCGTATATAAAATTGTATATTAATTAGATATTATTAGAAAAAAGGAAGCAGAGGATTGATAAGTCCCGGGTTTCTTTTATCAATGCGACCAAAGAGCAACAACCCCCCCGTTCTCCCTCGAGCCCCTCGTGGGAGCCGTTGGCACTCATCCCATTTCCTTGATAATTCCCATAATGCTGTGGGCGGATATTCCAATAAAGGGGGAACAGCCCTCGGGCACAAAACACTGAAAGCGGCGAACGGCCGCGATTCGTCAGGTTGCTCCACGATTCACGAGTTCGCGAGGATCGAGACAAATAAAGGCTGTAGGGAGAGAGCCGACGGCGCTCAGCCGGCTTACGTACATATAGCTTCAGATTTGTCACGTGGCATGCAGGAATGTGCGATAATCACTCAAAGATGCGGGTCCACTATGTGCGTGCCGGGTTTGCGCTGGATGCGATTTCTCTCCAGCGTATTTCACACGGCACGGCGCGGCCGATTTCATTAAATCTCCTTTCGAAAATTTAAAGATTATCGTCGATTTGAAGAAGAAAAAATGAATAGACTACTACGTTACGTTAAAAGAAGAAAAAATCCCCCTCTTTCTCTCTATTAAAATGGTGCGATTTTTCATTTTCATAGACTCTTCATATCCCAAATAATATATACGAATTCGCGCAATCGGACTTTTGGCGAACGCGAACGCGCATACCGATTATATTTCTAGCCCGATGCCGTTAAAGGTCAGACGTCGCCGTACGATCGACAACATTGTCTCCATGTTCTAATGATAGATTCGCTCGACGATTACAAGAGCGTCGATTGCAAATCATCACCTGGTGAAACCAGATTAGCGACGAGGCGTCGATCGACGATTTCGCGTCCCGTCGGTCAATCTTTTTCCACTCGGTTCTTTTTCTTTTCACCTTCCTTTTGTTTGCGCGCGAGCAGGGTCATCGAACGCGGCAGTCTCGATTCGAATCTAATTACGATCCCGATAATTCCGTCGGCAGGAGGAAATAGTAACTCACCGGAAACCTTCGGGTCAGCTGCCTCCACCTTCATCGCCGTCAGGCTCGCTATTGTCGGCGGTACCTAAAAGAAATACATTACGATGTACAATGCACCGGCGTGCTCAGGGCCGTACGCGAGCAAAGGGTGCGCGAAACGATAAAGCGAAAAGTGGGGACCCACGCGACAGACAGACGCGAGATGTTTCCGTAAAACCTATCGTGCAAAAGCGTTTCCAGCCATTCCGCGAACTAATCGCGTTATGGCCCGCTCGTAACATGGCCGCTTAATATCCTTCGTTAACCCTCCTGCTACCGAGTAATGAAATTATCCCCGGGGCACATCTTCTCCGCAGCATTTCAATTTCGCGCAACCGACTTTTATCGACGCGTCCGCGTGTATTTTTTTTTTTTTTTTCGTCCCTCGCATTTAGAGGAGACGAGGTTTTTCTTTCAATTTATCGAACGCCAAAATTAAAAGCGGAAGACGTAAGAAGATGCCTCCTGGAGAGAGACGTCACTTTGCCAGAAGCCCCATCGCGGTTTAAATTATTCCAATACTATGTACGATTTCCGAAGCCTTAGTTTCGATCCACATCGTTGAATTTATGAACCGGTTACTCTCTCTCTCTCTCTCTTCTCAAAAATCCAATTTTTTTATTCTTCTTGAAAAATTAATTCCCGAATGAATTCTCCGAATTGAACGAAACGAATGAATCGCGACGTATTATTGAAACTCGAAGAAAGCTAATCTCGGGCGCGTAAATTTATCGAGGACAAGTTTCGAATTACTTTACTCCGTATATAAATATCGTATAAACATATTCTAATATTACGGGCGTGACGCACCATTGCATTATCGTTCGACGAGGTTCTTTGTCCCGATCTATGAACTTCACTCCTAACAAGAAGCAACCTCGCGATCGAGCGCGCGCCGGAACAATCGATTAATTCCGTCGAATTTAATAGAACTCGCCTCACGTACGTGACCATCGCGTTCCATCAATTCTGCAATCTCTAATCGAACATTTATATTCCTCGTTCATAATTATCCGTGACCTTCCGTGCCTAATATTGCGAATTGCAGCGTATCGCGCATAATAATATCGGGCGGAGAAGATTGTTGAAAAAAAAAAAAAAAAAAAAAAAAAAAAAAAAAAAAAAAAGGAAATAATTCTCTTCGCATGCCTCGTGATTCCTCGGGAAGAGATCATCGCGATGAAGGACAAGCGCGCACGTTTATGGCTGCTTCTTAAATTAATGCATTTATCGCTCGCGAAAAAATTCGCAGGTAGAAAACGCGAACGCGAGGAAACAAATGGAAAATAATGTGCATCACGATGTATATAATGCGAACGTATGCATTGGAGCACGGGGCGAGAAGCATATGGGGGACTGGGGGGTGGAAAGGGGGCGAAGAAAGAGAAAAGGATCGGAATGAAACAAGAGTGGGGCGAGTGGAAGAGCGATGTCGAGAAGGAAGAAGAGAATCGAAGAGAGGAAGAAAAAGAGACAGAGAGACGAGGAGGAAGGTAACGATAAGAGAAAGAAAGACGACGATAAAAGAGGGGAGGGAAGGTTCGCCGATGAAGGAGAAGGTGGAGAAGAGGGGGGAGGGGGGCAGACGAGAAGAGGGGCAAAGAGGGTACGCGAGAGAGTATAGAGGTATATGAGAAAACAATAGAGCTGATTTGCAAACAATAGAATAACGTTAAGACTCGAGTATTATACGCTGTTGTTACTTCTTGTGCCATAACGCCGGAGAGCATATGTCCATTAATATTCAAAGGCGAAAATAATGTAAACGACACGACAAAAATTCGAGGAATAATTTCAATTCTCCGTGTATGGGATTCCACAGCAGCGATCCTATAGCCGGGTCGTCTGCGCGGTTTCGTGTCTCCTCTTTGGTGACCTGACATATATGCAAGTCTCTACGCGTCATTGATAATAGCGTAATGATAACGCGCATTCTATTCTATATCGTTAAAATCTCTTCGTCTCGCAATCTCGATAATAAATATCATTATCAACGGTTACATTTCATAAACGATTGATCGGAACGAATATTTAATATTATTGAGAAATGGGAATAAATAAAATAAGATCAAATTGATGCATGTCAAAAAATTTTGTTGGAAATCATTTCGCGGGTTTCGGAAATAAATAAATAACTCGCGATTAATAACGGGAAAAAGCCTGAAGGTATGCGACAAACGAATGATCTTCAACTGCGATGTCTCTATCGACTTTTATTACGACGTATCATAAGCGATTGTTCGTCGCTTACGATTCTAGGAAGCGCTGAATTATTCTAGTACAGTTAAGCTCACACAGCTCCCGTTGGTAACTTTACGATCTTGACGGTGACTTGAGTCGGATGAGTCATCGTTTATTGTTTTTGGACAGCTTCGCGATATTGTCTCGCTTTTGACGCAATAGCAAATAATAATTCAATGCTACTTAAATTTTTAATAATCGCTGACATTCGAGTCTCGGTATAATATCGTATGATCTTTAGAATTTAAGATTGTTAGATTGTGTAAAGGATTGCTGTCTCAGACATTGATATCCCAGTTTATAACCCCGAGTGTAACGAACTTTGCGTCGGTTTTTAGGATCAAATCGTTATATTAGACTCTCGTACTTACCCTAGATTCCTCGGACTCTTCCCGTCTCATGTTCTGGAAGAGCACGCTGCCCATCTGAACCTGCAGATTCTGCTGCAGCAGCTGCGCCAATTGTGGATTCTGCGACAAAATCGCTGGATTTTGCTGCAGCAGTTGCGCCAACGCCGGATTTTGGACCAATATCTGACTTAGGGGTGAATTAGCCATGGCGTGCATGGGATGCTGCTGCTGCTGTTGCTGCTCCTGCGACTGATGCTGCTGCGGTTGCTGCTGCAAGTTCGGCGAGTTTGCATTTGACGTTTGACAGGATTGCGAAAGATTGCCGAGAGACGGAATCGCGCGTTGCGGACTTTGCGGAGTATGCGGAGGCGTGGGTGGACTTCCGGGTGCCATCGACGAGGCATCCTTCTCCTCCTTCACCTTCATCTTTCCTGCAAGAGAAAGGACAAGATTGGTAATGCTACTTATAATCGAGTCGTGTTACTTTATTATAAAATTACGATAAAAGTAGCTCAAGTTTCTAAACTTGAAGATATAAATTTAAAATAATTTTTTTTCGAACGCGCACAATACTGATGTATCTATTAGATACACTAGTTTCATAATCAATGACAAAGCAAGTCTGCTATCGACGATATATTTCTCGAGAAATCCAAAGTGCGTAATGTATTATTATTGGAATCAACTCTGAGAGAAGTATTAGAAAAAAAAAGAACGACCTATTGTTGAACGTTGACGTATTGCGATGTTATTGACGTCTTCGTGAACCTTGGTAAGATTTACGGGAGTTGCGGAATATCGTGAGAGTTATAAAATAAATTAACTTTGATTTTTTATCGAGACCAATTCTGATGGACGCGTTTTCAACGAAACTGATTGATTTAAAACGAATTGGACAAGAGTGAACAAAATTCGCGAATGTCTGTTACTTGTTGAAGAATAAATCTTACCTGCTTGAAAAAAGGCTTATATAAATATCTCGAATTAAACAAACGCGAAAATTTCGCGCTCCATAAATTCTCAAGTTTTGATAACGATTAATTCGAAAATCAATAGATTAATTATTAGAAAATCGAATTATTCTTTTTTAATTATTATCAGCAATTAGAGATCGCTATTTCATTATTTCAATTAACGATAAAAGAATATTGCACTGTTGTTCGTCATTGTTCAATATATTCGAATTATTCGGGAGGAGGGAAGAGTCATTATCTAGCTACCTACCCTATTTACAAACTTTAAAAAATTCTCAAGATCTGATCTTTGTCAAAATTCTGGCAAGACTGACTCCTTGCAACAGTTGGTTTCGCTCTATCTTGATTTCGGAAAAATCTTACGGAGGGGTGATAGACTTCCGGATTGGTTCGAGAATACAGCAAGCTGGGAATAGGCGGTGAGATTCTACGGGGAATGTGCGATTGCTCCAAGGTGATGGCGGTAAAAGGGAGAGACCGCGGGGAAAGTTTTTTCTTAGGTTCGGAGTCGTGAAATTGAGACGTTTCGATTCTAAAAGCCGCGTAATCGACTGCTGGCAGGTATACATCTGCTCTGAACTCTATTCTATGGAGAAAAGTAAAAAAGTTTGTAACACTACTCAATACCCTATCAAATTGACTGTGATTACCAATCCATCTTTTTGATAGATTTTAATCAAAAGTATAATTTATATAGATTGTATATAAAAAAAACTTTCTTAATACAAAATTTGATTTCTCTCTCTTTCAAATTGGAAAAAAAATTTTTTTTTTTTCAACAATTATAACACAAGCTTTGTGCAAAATAAAAATAATTAATATTAAAAAATGTACGATTTTCTAAAAAAATGTCTTGTTTTAACAATATATTCCTACAGGCCGTTAGAAAAACAGAGTTCTAATCGCGCAAACAATTGAATGAGTACGTTAGATAAAAGTTATTTTTTACGTCTTTTTACCTTACAAATATAATCCGGGCATACCAGGTAGATAGGATGCGTTTTATTCGCACAAATAAATCCTGTAGACCATCAAAGCGATTTCTAGAGGTTTGCTTGATTTGCAGGTGAGATGAAGTATGAGAAAACGAGAGAGACATATAATAGATAAAGAAGACAAAATTTAAAAAGGGCTTAAAAATCCCCTCCTTAAGAGAGAAAAAGAGAGAGAACCACGAGAAGACCCCCTCGAAGAGATACGTCTGGTTCTTCCGAAAGGTTAGATCGATGATGTCTACTAAAATTACGAAACCCCTGGGATCTCTTTTTTCTGATTTATCCCTTCCTCGTTTCTCGCGGTTAAAATTCTTCCTTTCACTCGTTATACGCTTTCCACCACTTTTTTCGTTAAACGAATGAAGCATCCTGTGTATCACGATGAATGATTCGCTCGCCATCAACGCAAAAGGTCTACATCGATTGATGAAAAATGAAGAGAATATATCCCCGTCATAAAATGGACTCCCCCGAATAACGAAAAAAATGATGCGCAATGTGGGAAAATATTTCTTGCGCAATATGATCGACGATATTTCCAGCTTTCAGATTCGCCGAGGCTCGCTTTATTTCCCACCTTTCGAGTATCGTGATCAAATGCAGGATTTCGTTTCTCGAACGCGTATATATATATATATACGATTAATAAGGGATTATAATTAATAAAACGCATAATACGAAGGAGGGTCGTCATAAATAGCGCAAAAAAATTTCGACGCTCGTTTCGGTATTAAATGAATTCCCATTCTCGCGAGGGAGAATTCCTGAAGAATCGCATGCATATACGCATTTCGCAGTATCTCGCTCGCGGCCGGATCTTTAAATTGACTCGATTTTTAAGGCCCAGTCTGGAGAAGGTATCGCGCCGCGGGGATTCTGTGTTTCTCTTCCACCGAAGATATTCTCTCTTTCGTCTTTGCTCCAAATCGCCTCACATAGTGGCGAGTCATGCCCCATCGATACACTATCGCAGCAGAGAGACGTATTGCGACGAGTCATCTTTCCAAGATTCCTCGTTTATAAGACACCGTGCGAAATATAACGTGCTTTTTTGATACAGAAAAAAATGGATCTATCACTCGAGAAGATTATCAGAATAAAATTTAGAAAAACGGTCAAAGACTAAATTATATATATAAAGAAAAAATTGAAATTTAAACCATTTGTAGCCTTAAGATTAAGTGCTAATTTCCTATAATTATAAATTTTCAGATCTTTGCATTAGTTTAATACACTTGTCCGAAAATGTATACGGACATGAAATAATAAAATAATCGAGATCATTCGGATACGCTCGGGGCTCAAATTAGAGACGGTGAGTGACATTCGACCCTCTAACCTCGAAAGTCGCACGAAAAAAAAAAAAAGAAAGAAAGAAGGGGCACCGAGATCTCGTATCCTCGAGCCCATTTTTACGAGATACTTAAACCTTTAAACGGGTACGTCGTTGGGATCAAACGGTGGAAAAAAACGCGCTCTCGGATTTCAAATTTCGCAGGGAAATCGGTTAACCCCCGAAATCAACTGCGACGACACCGCTGAAGGGCGAAGGGATCGCGCGATTTTTCTCAGGGGTTAAATCGAGCGTGGCCCCCAGAAAGAGAGAGAGAGAGAGATCTGGCTTTTTTTTCTTCGCCCCTCTTTGAGGAGTCTCGCGCAGGTACCTGGCCGCTACCTGCACGCGTCCATCCCGGAAAAGCGGAAAGAGAAATATCGCAAGGGGGCGAAAATAGCGCGGTGAAGGTAAGAAAAAAAAGCGAGAGATTACGCGAACGAGGAGCTTCGAGTAGGGAAAGAAATACACGCGAGCGTCGAAGGGATTCCGCGTGCACCTTTTTCCTAGGTTTTTATCTTCTCGTCGGCGCCCGCGGACCCTTCCTTTCGTTCGCTCAGCCAGAGGGTAAGAAGAAACAGGGGTAAAAGTGAGTTAATAGTCGGTAAAACGCCGTTCTCTCCGTGACCCGCAGGGGTTACGCGTACCTCCCGGGGGTGCACCTCTTTTACTTCCTTTTCCCTACTCGACCCGCGCGAACGGGTAACTCGGGGAGGATACGAAGGGATAAAGAAAAAGGTGGCTAGTATATTTTGCTAAAGAAGAAAACTGAGACACGAGGATACTCCTTTCGTCGAGAAATCTGAGTAATCGTTGTCGTATAGCAGCTTTCGCAGGAAGCTGCTCTTCCGTTGTTGCTCTCGTATTTTCTCGTGAGAACATTTAGGAATATATCAGAAAAAATATTTTGATATATATATATATATATATTTTTCTGAAGAGAAAATGCAAAATATGTAATGGAGATTCACAAAGAAATTGAGGCGATCTAACGAAATAAAGAAAAGAATGTATGAAATAATCGGTAATATTAATTCGCGTAAATATGAATTGAATCGCGTGGATTCCTTTCAACGTGATTCTTTCGTGCGTATCGCGTACATGTTGCGTATAAATTCGGTATTCCAAAACACAAAAGTAAGATTACCGGCGGCTTCGGCTTTCTTGTTTCTCGCCAGAATCGAATTTCGAGCGCTTCGTCGTCGTGTAACGAAACACGCGCGCGTTTCAAGAGCCTCGCGTTACGCGTGCCTGACTAGAGTACGTGGTTGGGCTCGTCCAACCCGGAATCGTCAACGGAAGCGAGTGCGTTCGTCCGCAACGACTGTCGAGAATTCCAAATCGTCGAGTAACGGATATACACCCGTTACGTCGAACGATCGATGTACCTACCCCGGGGAGAATTATGAAGCAAAGCCGAAGTTCGCGCGAAATCCCTGTGATAAATCGTCGATTCTCCATCGGCTCGTCATAATCGAATGTAGCCAGCATCGTTAGAGCTCTCGATCGAAACCGTGATGATCTCGCGATGACTTCGCTCAGGATGAAGAAATATCGCACGGATACGTAAAAGAGCAAAACGAGACGTAACAAATTCAATAAACTTTCAGAGAACGATCGGTGATTTAGAAGACGGATTTTTATGGACGGATAAGAGAAATATTTCTAAAAATGTTGAGTATGCGAAGGATGATGTACGTATCTATAAAAATGAATTACAAAGGAATTAGGGAGAATTATAATGATGAAAAGTAAAGCAAAATGTAAACGTTCGCTCATGATTCTTTGTGCGGGTCAGGGAAATTGATTAAAATCAAAATTTCGAATCGAATTTGGACCGAGAAAAATTAATTTTCCTTGACATTGAAAAATATGTAAAAGATGCGAACCATATAGAATACAATTAAAACAGTGTTCGTAACACGAACCGAATAAAGTAGACGTCATTGTCAGATTTATGATCAGCTGCCGCGTTGCAGAAAAAAGAATCGACACAACTGCCTTCGCTCCTTCTCGAAAGCAGGAATCTTAGACGGACATATTCGGGTATAACGTTTCCAAATTTTAATATTTAACGTCTCGAGGCGGTCAGATCGAGAGGGACCAGCGTGGCTTGGCCGCGAGATAAA